TATATATATATATATATATATGTGTGTGTGTGTATATATACACGTCATACTGCTCCGCCAACAATGGAATGCAGTATAGCCATGCATCGATGGAAGGCCTGAGCCATGAGCTTAGTAGGCTATTTTTTCTGTGAGTGTTTCAAGAGTACATTATTAATTATCATGCCTGTGTGTTGGGGTGCTATTGGGGTTAATAGAATGGATACATGTAAATGTGAAACTAGTAACAGATATTTTAGTTACTAGTGGGTGCAGTCTCCCACTGCCTTCTGATATATTGAAAAAATAAAAAGCTCCTCCTTGCTGGGAATGTCATACTACCCTACCATTTTCAACAAAATAAATACATATAAAATGTAACGGGGGACAACACCTCTTCATAATTGTTATTGTATGTGCTGATCTAAAAATGTTAGTGCAAAGATCTTGCCAAAGGAATCCTAGGAAGAAGCGGGTTGTCTAAACCAATAAGCTAGGAATGCTCCCCAAAAACACTGCAACTGCGCTTAAAGGATAGCTAAACCCAAGAACATATTTAATATATTGCAGCCCACCAGTCTTTAGATGCGGGGGCTGGGTCAGGGTTTATGCAGCTCTATTCTGCAATAACTGTCAGTGGCAGAAATATTGAATATTATATACCTTTTGTTGCATTTTAATGAAGTCCAGCCACGTATGAGATTATACAATACAGGTGGCCCTCGGTTTACAACAGTTCAATTTGCACCGATTCAAAATGGCACCCTTTTCTGGGAGTGTTGTAAATTGAAACCAAATGAATGATGTATGTCAATGGGAAGTGAGGGAGTTAGTTTCCAGACCTCTCTCAAAACATAGAATGGATCTAAATGCAAACTGGGGTAAACTGAAACCCAGTAAATAATGTAAGTCAGTGGAAAGTGAGGAAGTTGACATAACAATACAGGTATGTCTGTGAAGGTTCTCATTCATTCAGGTCATGGTATATCTGTAAAAAATAAGTCAAGGCAACTGGACTTGCTGTATTTTTCTTGAAAACGTTTCACTGGCCATCTAACCAGCTTTCTCAATTCAGAATGACTTGTAGAAAAATTATCTGGGAATAAATATGGTGAATGTTGTTCCAATCCACATAATCTGTAAGTAACAACCATGTGTTGATTGCAATTGCATAATTGCAGCTAGGTGTTAATAACCTGCCCAGAGAGAGGCGTTAAAACAGCAGAGGCAATTGAAACAGTGAGAAAATGGTGGCTACTAGACAACACCCCAGGCAGCAGAACAGAACTTAAAGGAGAACTATGGGGATAGGGCTTTTCCCCATAGTTCTCCTTAGTGTAACGGGAGGACACAAACCCGCGTCCTCCCGTCACCCTAAGCTCAGTATACCGTGAGCTACAGCTCGCGGTATACTGAGATGCCGCAGCTGAAGTGGATCTCGACAATTATGTCTGGATCCGCCCAGCTGCGTGAGCGACAGCTGGCTCTGCCTATCTAGAGGCAGAGCCAGCTTTACCCGCCCCCTCCCCCGTCCGTTCTGCCAGTCAGCGCTGGAGGATCGGAGCGGGGAGGGGGGAATCCAGTCACTCCCCTGTCACGGCAGAGAGCCCTGACAGGATCGAGAAGTGAGCGAACGCCGGTATGTGTTCGCTCACTTCCCGATCTACTGAGCCGACCTGTGACAGTTTAATTGTCACAGGTCGGCTAGAACTATGAGGATGAGTGAAAAGCACTTACCTCATAGTTCTCCTTTAACCCAGATCAAGTGTGTGCCTTATTGGACCTTTGCCTGAGTACCACCTATTATGAGGACAGGTTCTAAAGGCAGAAACATGGCTGTGCCATGAGATCGCCAGTTTCACCTATTGTGACGAACTTGTACATGGAGGAAGTAGAAAGCAAGGCCCTAACCACCTTCAAGGGAATTACACCCAGTCATTGGTTCAGATATGGGGGCGACACTTGGGTCAAGATTCACAAACAAGAGTTACAGGCTTTCACTGACCATATCAACTCAGTGGATCATAACATCAAGTTTACACGGGAAGATATGCAAAAAAACAAACTGGCTTTCTTGGACTGTTTAGTAACAGTAAAAGAGGAACGGAAGCTGGAAATAGAGGTCTACCGAAAACAAACACACAGGGACCAGTACTTTAAATATAGGTTTAAATATAATGTACTTGTATTTTATTATTATTTTCAGAAAGGTCTGAAACATAACTCCCTCACTTCCAATTGACTTACATTATATACTGGGTTTCAATTTGCACCGGTTTCTATTTACAACCATTCCCTCAGGAACCTAACCCCAGCCTAAATTAAGCGGCTACCTGCAAAAGCACTGAAGAAGGGGGGAGGGGGGTCGCAAATCACAGAAATGCATTGGCTTTCTTTTTAACGATTATTCAATAGGGCATCACTTTGGACTCCTGTTGCGCTCCTGTTTTCTGTATAGTTGGACTTCCCGTAAGACCCCCCCCTTCCCTTTGGGGGATTTAATGGTATTTGTGAGCAGCCTATAACAAAGCAAGTTACCATGATCAATTAGATGGTCTTGACAACTAGACATGTGCACCAGCAAAAAATTTGTTTCATTTCGATTCGGATTTTGCTTTATTTTGTTTTTTGTAATTCTGGTCCGAAAGTCAATTCGTTTCAGAATTCGGATTCGGACGAAATTCGTTAGTGGTAATCCGTACGAAATTTCATTTCTAATTCGTTTCGTTCGTTCGTTGCAGCAAAGTGACATTTAAGAGGAAAAAAAAGTTTTTTGTTCTCAAATGTCACTGCAGCAACGAAATTTCATCCCAAAAAACGAAAGTTCGCCCCAAAAAAACGAATCGGAAATTCGGATTCGTTTGCATTCGTTACATCCGAATCTCTGAATTTCCGAAATTTCGTCCGAATTTCGATTCAGAACGAAACTAATCGCACATGTCTACTGACAACATTGGATGTCAATACCAGAAGAGCTAATTATTTGGTGGCAGTGAGCAGCTTAACAGCAATGAGGGGAATTGATCAAAACTGGGACAGACAAAATCTGGAGCAGATGTGCATGGCAACCAATCAGCTTCTCTTTTTCAAGATAGAAGCTGATT